GCTGTGCAGGCTGCTCTAAGGCATGGACCACAGGATCCAGCAGAGCTGATGGTACTGGAGGTGTCAGTGGCAGATAGGGATGCTGCTTGGAGCCTTTGGCAGGCCCTATAGGTGAGTCACAGAAAAGACCATTGGGATTGTGGAGCAAGTTTCTACTCCAGTTACAAGGCCATCTGATGCCAAGCATGCACCTAGAGCCTCATGGGATGTGCCTTAAGATTGGTTGACTGAGGAAGAGAAGACAAGGCCCTGGTTTACTGAAGGTTCTTCATGTTATGCAGGCACCACCCAGAAGTGGACAGCAGCTGCAGCTACTTTACAAGTCCTTTCTGGGACAACCCCGAAAGACTTAGACAAAGGGATATTTTCACAGTGGGCAGAACTTTGGGCAGTATACATGGTATTTTGTTTCGAAGGAGAAATGGCCAGATGTGCAAATGTTCACTGGTGCATGAGTTGTAGCCAGTGGATTGGCTGGGTGGTCAGGGACATGGAAAGAGCCCCTTTAGAAAATTGGTGAGAAAGACATCTGAGGAAGAAGTATTTGAATAGATTTCCAAATGGGCATGGGATGTAAAGATTCATGGGCTGTGTCCCATGGAAATGCTCATCAAAGGTGACTTTAGCTGAAGTTCAGTAATCAAGTAGATAGGATGACCTGTTCTGTGGACAGTCAGCCTCTCTCCCCAGCCATCCCTGTCATTGCCTCATGGGTCCAGGAACAAAGTGGCCATGGTGGCAGAGATGGAGGTTATGCATGGGCTAGACAACATGGATTTCCAGTCACCAAGGCTGACCTGGTTATAGCTGCTGCTGAGTGCCAGGTCTGCCAACGGCAGAGACCAACACTGAGTCCCAGATATGGCACCATTCCCTGGAGTGACTAGCCAGCAACCGGGTGGCAGGTTGACTATGTTGGACCACTTCCTCTGTGGAAAGAACAACTCTTTGTCCTTACTGGAGTAGTACTTATTTTGGTTATGGGTTTGCCTTTCCTGCAAGTAAGGCTTCTGCCAGAACCACCATCCTTACAGCATGTGAACTTACAGAATGCTTTATCCACCAACATGGTATTCCACACAGTATTGCTTCTGACCAGGGAACTTACTTCACAGCCACACAAATATGACAGTGGGTCCACGATCATGGAATCCCCTGGTCTTGCCATGTTCCCCACCATTTTGAAGCATCTGGCCTGAGAGAAAGATAGAATGTCCTTTTGAAGACACTGTTACAGCATCAATTAGGTTGCAGCAGCTGGAAGGCTGGAACAGGGTTGTCCAGAAGGCAGTATATGATTTGAATCAGCGTTCAACAGATGGTGTGGTTTCTCCCATAGGCCGGACCCGAGGGCTCAGGAATCAAGGGGTGGAAAGGAAATAGTTCTTTGCATGCTTGCCCTCACCTTGCTAGCACATCCATTCCTTAACTGACACTGGAGCCTACTTCTTTGGGATTCCAGCGTATACAGAAGACCAGCTAAGACATCCAGCCTTGTGGTCCTGAGCAACTACTAGATTCTTGGACTCTTTGTTCACAGCTAGCCATTGTTGGATTACTTGGACTACAGCCTGTAAGTCATTCCAATAAATCCCCTTTATATATATATATAGAGAGAGAGCTTATTCATTCCATAAGCTCTGTGACTCTAGAGGCCCTTGACATAGTTAGACCCTTGACATAGTTAGACCCTTGACATAGTTAGCATCGTGAGGAAATGTTGGACCAAAGCAAGATTGAAAACCAGCAGGGCAAACTCCAAATTCTGCATTTGCATATCCAAGTGTCCTTCATATATTTAACTCCTTTCAGCTTTGTTGACTGCAACACATTTCTCCATCTTGGGTTGGTTCTATACCCAATCTGTAGCTCTTCTTGGAAGGCATCCCTTGACTCTGGCATCTCCAACATCATTGGGTCTCTGATGAAATCCAGTCTTCATCTTCAAAGCTTCATGCAATGGCCTCTCTGGGCCTTGATTCAGGGACACCCCTGACACACATCTGGTCTCAGTGGCTTTTCTTAACCATGAAGGGAGATTCCACAACCCCTTTCTTGTATTCTTGACTCTAAAGCCAGAACCATGTGGCCAAGGCTGCCAAGTTCTGCTGCTTGATAGGGCTGGTATTCAGCCCACTGATTTAATATCATTTGCATCAACTTTCTGTTGTCCATGATTCATTCATTGATTAAGCTTTTCTTTAGTTCCTTTTCAAAAGTTGGGAGCTTCGCTGGGTGTGGTCTTGCCCTGAGGTCACCATTCTCTTTATTCAGTGTAGCATCAAGCTTTCTTTTCATCTCCTTGAGCACTGGACTTAGCTCTACTACGTTTCCCAGTGCTCCCTTTCTCCTCAAACTGTAAATGTTTTATTTTTCCTTGCTCAGTTTCCTCATTTTCATTATAGATATGTATAATACTGGCCACTAATAACCAAGCAACAGAGTCAGTACTAGTCTGTCTTGAAATCTGCTGCCAGTGCCATTAATCCAAAACTCTTCAACTTAGCCTCAGGCAGATTTTCCAGGACAAAAAGTAGCCATATTCTTTGCTAAAATATCACAAGAATTGTCTCTACATCTCTTACTAATATTCTTCCCATCTCAAACTTCTTCAGTTGACCCTATCGTTCAAATCACCCTCAGCACCACTGTCTTCCATGCCTCTACTTGGATGGCCCCTTACCCACTTTCTAGTCCAAAGTCCCAAAGTCTTCTGTATTCCTCCAATGAACAGCATGGTCAGGTCTGTCACAGCAAAACCCCACTCCTGGTACCAGCTTCTGTCTTAGTTACTGTTGTGAACAAACACCATGACCAAGGCAACTCTTATTAAAGAAAGCATTTAATTGGGGGCTTGCTTACAGTTTTAGAGGTTTAGTCCATTATCATCATGGTAGTGAGCATGGCAACATGTAGGCAGGTAGGTACTGGAGCAGTAGCTGAGAGCTACATCCTGATCCATAGGCAGAGAAAGAGACTGGGCTTGCAACGGGTTTTTGAAACCTCAAAGTTACAGGGACATACTTCCTCCAACAAGGCCACACCTCCTAATCCTCTAATCCTTTCAAAGAGTTCCACTCCCTGGTGACTAAGCATTCAAATATATGAGCCTAGAGGGACATCTTATTCAAACCATCACACACAGAAAACAGAATATCATAAAGATGGGTTCCATTGTGGTCCCCAGGCATCTGAGAACTCATGGAGTGGGTGAATTCTGCCCTCCCTCAAACCATAGCCCATGAAATCTGAGTCAACAAAACTAGATAACACACTGATAGCCATTTTCCTTCCTCCAGTCAGAGGAAGATGAAAATTTCATGTGACCATAGCCTCCTCTCTAAAGGCCATTTTCAGTTAAGACTGTGGCTTTTGTGTAGCTTGTTCCCCATGAGATAAGGTCCTAGGAACTTCACCAATAACTGGGCTGCTTGTGGTCGCTATGTCCTAGAAGCCCAGCAGCAGACAGATGAGTGGGTATTTCTTGAACTGACTGTGGCCATAAGCAGAGGAAGAGGCACAAACTGCGGGCTGAAATTCTGCCCACACCCATGAGACGCCCTGCTCCTACCTGTGCTCAGGTGTGAGCACTGCTTCTCTGTCGTCTTCGACACATTCGACACATTCGGAGGAGTCAAGCTTGGGATGTTCCTGCTGCAGCTGCTGCTCCCGTTCCTGCTCCAGGGCCTGTTCCCTGGGGGAAAGGAGAGCCTGAGTCAGCCTCAGCACTGTTACCTGCTCTCCACCCATCTCCCCAGGCCAGTGAGTTCCCCCAGCAGCAGAGCACAGCATGCCTAGGAAGTGCAAGGCCACCTTCCTGGTGTCCTAAACCAAGGCTCTGAGACTTACTTCCCGAGGGACAGAGCTCTGCTTTGTCTCCAGTGGGCAATGATGAAAGAAGACAGTCTTTGCCACACAATGTTCAGTGTGTCTTTATTTGTGGGTCTTGTTTTGACATTCGCTCATTCTGTAACATCCCCAGATCTGGGCCTGCTCTTCTATTACCGGGGCTTAGCCACATGATGAGAGGAGGCTTGTACTCTCTGGTCCTTGGCAGCCTCAACTCACCACTTGACTCTCCAGCCTCAAGAGGCCAGAGCCTTCCCTCCCATCACCCCAGACCCTCAGTATGAAAAAATTCCATCTCCTGCCAAGGCCCTGAAAGCAGCCCTATACCTGATGATTTCCAGCCCGTGTGCTGGTTCCCTCTCATGTCCATGTCTGAGTCTTCATTCCCCCAAACAACCTAGAACCTGGCAGCTCACCACACGACCCAGCAGAAGCTCGGAGCCCTCCCCAGGCCCCGACTCCCTCGGCTCTGCTGCTTCTTCACCACCTCACCCAGGTGTGTTCTTCTAGGACAGTCTGTGGGATCTTTCTTTAACACGCAGAAAAACACGCTTCGGCCTCTTAAGGCGCTTCCGTGATTCAGGGTGTGTGTGTGTGTCCAACCGGTTTACTACACCACTGCTTTGTCTCCCACTCACCCCTCTCACCTGTCAGCACCCAGAGTTCCAGCCCTTCCAGGAACAGCATGGCCTGTCCTATCTGCCTTTATGAGATTATCATCCCTCCCTCTCCAAGGTTCAAGGACAAGCCTGCTATTTGGGGCCCTAAGAAGCAACTTGATAGAACGGAAAATACCAGATTCAAGATATTTCGGGGTGAGGAGAGTGGCACCATCAACTCCCCACATCAAGTCTCCATCTCAAGCAACAACCAAACAACAGTTCTGAGATATTAAAAATCAAAGTAACTATAGAGGAAGGAGATAGATTGACTCTGGAGTGGACAGAATGGATAAAACCAGAGACAACAACTGTCCAGCCCATGTGTATACCTAACTATACTCTGTGGGCAAGAATGCAGGTCTGGCAGTTCTGAGAAAAGATCCTGGGAAGGCGGGCATGGATGATTCCAGTACCAGTGAAGAGGCAGGAAGGAGTTCCACCTCCGCTCAATGCGCACACACACTGACCTGCATTTAGTCTGTGTGCACACACGCACACAGGAAAGGGACGCAGAGGAAGAACTAGGTCATGAGAATAATGAATAATCGTCTGCTCACACACCATCAAACGCAGGCCAGCAAACAGGCCCCACACCAGCAGCTGTTCCTGGCCACTTCACAGAGTGAGGTATCTACTGTACACTGGAGGAGTCTACAGTTCCACTCCGAAGGGCCTTTCCACGTAAGCCAACCTCCTCCCTGAGAGGCCACTCCAAAAGAGACTGACAGGTGCTGGTCTCTGACACCAGCTGCACCCCTAAGGGACTTCTGATGATGACCAATGTGACTTTTGCCTTCAGAAACTGCAGAGGGAACAGCATTCAGAGCCTGACTTCTCCGAGAAGTGGCTGGGCTGTGAGGCAGGAAGAAGGCAAGCATGATCAGATAAAGTGAGAAGGAAAATGGGCCAAAGGGCTTCAGTACTGGGACAGGACAGAGGCTGGACCACAGCTGTCTTCTTTTCCATGTCCCTCTGATGGGACACCCTTGTGGCATGAACTGGGTAAGGGTGGAGGCTGGGAGGAAGAGAGACCTGGGATGAGGGCTTTGCTCCTGATGTGGGTGGAGGTACCCCTCCTCTTAGACCTGAATGTGAGCCTGTTTCTTACTAGTCAGAGCACACAGGGCGTATCATGCCTGCTGGGAAGGATGCCCCATCCACACAGGGGCTGCCCAGAGTCCTCAGTCTACATTTGTTTCACAAATGACCCCACTCCTGTGACAGACCTCATCCCATACTCACCTCTTCTCTTGCAGTAAGTAATCCAGGTTGTTGACATAGTATTCTGAGCACCCAGAGGCAATCTGGAAAGACAGGACACAGGCATGGGGAGGCAAGGGAAAAACAGACAGAAGAACTTGACATTAATGTATTCTGCTCACTTTTCTGAACAGATGATACAGTCATAGGATATTTTAAAAATTCAAAAGTATGAAGGTTCTCTCCCAGTGCCTCCCACCAGGTCAATGTGCTTGTGTGCTTTCTGATGTTGCTATACAAGGACAAGCAAGCAATAATTTCATCAGTTCCTGTAACTAAAATGGAATATGCCACACGCCTCATCCTGTACTCTGCTCTTTCCAATCAGAAATACATCTTGAGGCCGGGCGGTGGTGGCGCACGCCTTTAATCCTAGCACTCGGGAGGCAGAGCCAGGCGGATCTCTGTGAGTTTGAGGCCAGCCTGGGCTACCAAGTGAGTTCCAGGAAAGGCGCAAAGCTACACAGAGAAATCCTGTCTCGAAAAACCAAAAAAAAAAAAAAAGAAAAGAAAAGAAATACATCTTGAGTGTCATTTCATATCAATGCCAAAGAGATTGTGTATGTGTGCATGTGTATTTTGTATGTATATATGTGTGTATGTATGTATGTATTTGTGTGTATGTGTATATATATGTGTGCATGTGTATGTACCTGTGTGTGCATGTTATGTGCTCAATTAACATCGTCAGGGTGTTCTTAGACACGAACATGACTAGAACAGAATTCACTCGTTCTCCAGTGGCATTTAAGCCACTAACAATCTTGTGCTATTGCAAACAGTTGAAACACTATGCTTGGAATAAATTTCCTGAGCCCATGGGCCCTTAAGTGTTCCACACTCTACTTCCCACAAGGACATCCTTGAAGTCTCCATTTAGGCTCTCTATTATTGCTCTTCAGTTACTGTCTTTGTGTGCTCTCAAGCCCGGACTCTGGCCCTGAGGTCTCTCCTTGCTTCGAGACCAACCCTTAACATTAGACAGGAAAGCTGTGAGGCCCCAGCAGAAATGGCATTGACTATGGTGCTACCCCCGGCCCGGCTTTCATTAGCAAGAGTTGGGGATAGAACCATGGGGAGGAGAGGAGTCTGGCTGCAGAGTCCCTGGGCTGGGGAGCGGTGGGGTATATAATCAAGCAAGAGTTGGGTAGGGGGCTGAGTGGGCACTGGCTTGTGGGCGACTAAGATGGGTCACTAAAAGGAGTGGCTCATGAGGGGAGCCAAGGTGGCCACCGGCTTGCTTACTTTTGGAGTCACAGCCTGTTGGCTTGGACCTGCCATGTTCCAGAAGAGTTCCTCTAGTGAGGCCAGCCCCACCTTCGGGTCTGAATCTGGGGGCTCCTTCTCCAAGTCCTCCTGTGGTCTCCTGCAGGCCTGAAGCACCTTCTTGTTCTTGTTTAGGAATTCTACAGGTGGAGGGCTCCAGTCAGTGGGGAAGGAGTCTCGAGGCATCTGCATTTTGGACCTCTTCAGTGATTTGGGAGGTGGAGCCACTGTGGGGCTTCAGAGTTGTGGCCCTGAGCAGAGAAGGGAGAGAGGTCCAAGAGGCTGCATTTCAGGTTAGGCAGAAGGATGGGCAGAGCAGTGGCTACTTGGACTCCTGTGGACAGGAAAGAGTACTATGGGGTCCCTGTCAACTCCATCAGTGTCCCAGACATCAAGTCACACCGGGTAAGAGAGGGACATTGGGATTGTGATGTGTGGATTGCAAGGGCAATAACTCCTCCATCCTGACTGCCTTTGGTCCTGCCCCATCATGTCTCTACCTGTGCAGGTAACGCCTACCTCTCCACAAGGAAGACTAGCAAAGTCTTCTGGGGGCCTGGCCATCTGAAAACTGTGGGATGCTCTGTCCTTGATGGAACTCCTTTGACAGGTGAGGTGACCTTCAGAAGAAACCTAAAGACTAAAACGCTGTGTTTCCCAGAAGGAGAGGCCTGGTACCCAGAAGGAATTCCTCCTCCAGTCCAGGCCTATCACAAGGGTTGGTATTGTGCCTGAGGTCAGACAGCTGAGATGAAGGGTCTCCTGACTCTTCACAGCAACACAATGGGCAAGCAGACAGATTC